AAAACAGAATTAACTTACTGTGCTTAGTTTGTAAGTTATGATTTTTTGAAGATAATGTAAAAAAATAATTAAAAAATTTTCAAATTAGTATTAAAAAAAATCTGCCTTAGCTTTTTAGCTGAAAATTTGCAAGGATGTATTTCTGAGCATTGTGAACAAAGTTAGCTATGTGGCATCTGAAGGAAGGGGCCTTTTTCAAACCCTACTGATTTCGTCGACTTGTGATAATAAATCATTGAAATAAACTTCTACTCCTGTAACGGTGAGGAGTTCCAGAAACTTGATTCCATCGACTTGAACCGATAATGAGCCACACAATTTAGTCAGAAAAGAATCAGAAAAACGTGGCTTCTTTCGTATGACCTTTGTGAATAATCCCGAACGTTTCATTGTCTTTTTCAATACAGACCGCTGTATGTTTGAAAGAACAGGGCTCAGTTTTTATCAGTCGTGTTTCAACATAATGTAACAGCTTATTGTTAGTAAGTTACAATAAGTCTTCGAAGCGTAGTTACTTAAAAACATGTTTTTCTGAAAAATATTAAACTTTTAAGGAAAACTTTCAGATGTGCTCCATCCAGCATCAGAACTGGAAAAAAATACATTAGACCGTACCGTTTTGGCTAATTTATTGTTTTGAAAATCAACTTTGTACGATCATAATGAAAAACTGTATCTACTCAATAAAAAGCTCTTTTTTCTTAATTGCAATTAATTAGTGAATTAAGTTTTTTTTCGATAAATAAAAAATAAAAAATTTTCCATTTTTATGTAACTTCTGGATTAACAAGTTCAACATCCAAGTTTCATAAACGTGTGATTTATGAGACTGGATTTACGAAGATAGAGTATCCCTGTATGACAACTAGTTCGCTTTTGATATTTCAAATGAATTTTCAATCTGTGTGACGGTATGATTGGAAAAATTTTTATGGTTTCGTATTTGTTTAGCCATGTCTAGAGACAAGAAGCACAATTTTCGAACTCAAAAACCGGTTCTCCGGTGGTGTTGGCACGTAAAATCTTGCTTTTGAACTCCAGATCGGAAAATCTGGGAGTTGCGTAGAATTGCTAAGAACAGTCTGTCAGTTCGAATCTAGTACTGTGAATCGAAAAACCATCACATCTTATCGGCTTGGCGAGGAGCTTTTCCAAAGATCTTTCTGGAAAACCAAATTTTTCTGCCTTCCATTTTGAAATGAATAGTAGTTCTCTACTCTTTCTGGTGCAATTTAACAATTCCAAATCACATCCCGCCGACTAGAAGATTGAATCAGAGACAAAACAATCAAGACGCAACTGCATTCGACGCATCGAACTGCACCGTAAGATATAAATGATCTAAGATTCTATTGACGCCTGTTGAAATGGAGTCTACTTCCCAAATGACTAATGACACGAGCATGAAAAAAACAATGCTGCTGATGCAATTTCTAGGTAGATGTGCTCAAGTAAAATAGTTTCACGTTTAATGTTCACTTTCATTTCTTACACTAAATGTCTAATTTACTCGATAGTAAAGAGCAATCGTTTTCATTTTTTTAATATTACTTACTCTTTTAAGTAAGTAAATATCAATGTAATGGATGTCAATACAATCAAGTGTGTATATTAACATATTGACCATGTTTTACTTATAATAGTATAATTGTAAACATCGAGTTAAATACTTTATTCATCAATAAATTAATCAGTTAATCAGAGACAAGTTGATACACTTTCGACCTATTTAATTGTGCATAACTTTGTTAATTGTAGCGACGTTCATTCTATATAAGAACCGCATAATATATCATTTTACCTTATACGTCTAACACACATTGTAAAATATAATTTGCAAGATTTTGGGTTATTAAATGTCTTATAATTTTATTTTCAGTTAATATATTAGATTCCGAGAGAAACGTATAGTTTTGGTTATTTCACAGCAAAGCCTATGTCGCATTTTATATAAACAGAGTAGGCATGCAACAATCCCCAGCTAGGGCTCGCTGATCGGCACCGAATGGTTAGTTATTGAACATGTTTGGCCACCAAACGGTTCGAAACCGAATTTGTTCGCTGCCGATCAGCGGGTCCTAGCTTGAGATTGTTGCATGTGTTATGTCACGTATGCCATAAGGCAGAAGATCATATTCAAGGTTATTGCGCAAGCATATAGTCTAAGTTATTGTGCAAGAACATATACAAGACTATGGACAAGGTTATTGCGCAAGAATATATTCAAGGGTATGGTGCAAGGATGCTCAATGGTACGGTGCAAGAATATATTCAAGGTTATTGCGCAGAGTCTACTCAAGACTGTCGCGCAATATTTCCGATATAAATAGATCAATTTTATTGTTCAGGGATATCTTTTTATTTGTAAATAAACGTTAGGTGAGAAAGATCTTAGTTCACTCACGAACCTAACAGCATGCCTAGTCTGGACTAGAGACAAACGGGATAAAATTCAATTTTTTGAAAGAGCTAACCAATGAGAAAATAGACTAACTGAAGCACAATGTGAGCAAATGTGTGTTCTGCCGGATCGCTACCGAACATGTTCGATCAGTGAGCGATTCGCTGCCAAAGGTTTAAAAAATATAGTTTGTCAAAGCTAAGAACATGAGAGCGAAAAAACACATGAAAGAAATCTTTGTAAAACAAAACAAATGGCGAAGAATACACCAAACGAAGCAGCAGCCATGATTACACCATAGCCGTAGGTTGTCATATAAAGAAAAGTTTGAATTATAGCAGCAACTTTATGTCTGCTTTATTCCAGGAAGTCCAAAGTACCATTAGTATCAATTATATCTGATTTACTCTCTAACTGAAGCATACTTTACTAATGTAGCAGATTAATTTACTTTGTCTTCATGCAAAAATGCTTTTCCTCACTATGCAAATTAAGTAGACAGAAAACTGCAGCCCTAATTCGAATGTGTTTTTATAAGGTTTATAATACTTTGTCCTAATGGTTTCTCAACAGATCACTCGCCAATATCTGTGATGAAAAAATATAAACTACCGTATTTGCAATCTTCGTCCGAACACGTTCGGTCGCATCAAGTTTCCTGGCCGAATATACTCGATAACGAACCGTTTGGTGACCATACTATCCGATTGGTGCATGCCTACAACAGAGCAGTTAGAATTTTTCATTTTTTCATTAGGTGCTTAATGATATAATATTGCAGGTACCTTCTTTTCCGGCATTACACACAAGGGAGATTTGAGGTAGCTTTCCACTGAAACAATTAATGCAGAATGGCAGTCAGATAATATGTATCAATGTTATATGCTCAAGGGGGAAATAGCGGACTCCTGAAGTCCAGAAGTCCAAGAGCAAAAGTGTTCTTTTTTGCGAATAACTTCCCAAAAAAGAACATTTTTGCTCTTGGACTCCTGGACTTCAGGAGTCCAGGAGTCCGCTATTTCCCCCTTGTATATACTTTATAGGAACTAAACCTTCGGCTAAATGTGCGCCCGACAATAAATTTCTGTATTATACGCTTTTCACTATTAACACTACAAACAGAATTAAAGCCTTTTGAATGTTAAAACACTTGATAACTTAACGGTTTCTCTACTGTTTTCTATAGTATTCATCAAATGTCGCAACATAGTTAATGTTATATTACGCCTTTGTTCCTTCCATTTTGCTATACGAATTCAATACTTTCGAGAAATCTAACAAACATTTTTTATGCAAGAATCCTTTTTTCTCGCTTAAATACAACCCATTAAGAATTAAATGGTTACTTATTAGTGAAACAACAACAACGACGATACGCCAAATAAATGTTTGCCTTTTATACGAATTGAAAAATAAAAATACTTTTAATAGAAGAAAACGTATTAATACAAATAAAAGAAAAAACAATAATAATACTCGAAATGTATAATGTATGCTTTTAAAGTACATATATCATTTTAAACGAGTATAACAAAACTTCAAATAAACATACCGTTAACAGACAATTGGAATCCCAAATAATTATCTACTCTGTCTATTAACAGTAAGAAACAAGATGATAGAAAAATGCATGCATGTCAATATATATATATATATACCCGAATGAAACGCGACATATTCGTACGTAAAATAAAATTTTCATCGTCTTCTGAACATGCCTTCAATGAGAAACGAAGACAACATAGCATGTCTTACACATGCTAAGATGAATCGAGTTTCAGAAAATTTAAAAAATTTTATCATTTTGATCGGATTTGGAGATATAATTTTTCTGCCTGTAGCAACAATTGTAAACGGTAAAATTTTGGTCAAAAAAATTACATTTTACATTTACAATCTTTTTTTTATCAGCTGTGCCAGAACAGAATTCTGTTCTGGCACAGATGATAAAAAAAGATTGTCAATGTAAAATGTAAGTTTTACATTTACTTGTTTTGAACGAAGTTTACCATTTACATTTGTTGCTACAGGCCTACTTCATTGAAACGAAATAATGAAGAACAAAGTCGAAACAGTTGTCTTTTTACAAAAGTTTAGACCTTCTTTAAATTAATGCTTCAATATTTTTCATAGGAAAACGAAGAATATGAAAAGAGAATAAAAAGAAAAAGATCATAGTGATAAAATTTCATCTTTTCAACAATTTTTCTTTCGCGATCGAAAAATGTAACGAGGTCGTGCAAATTCGCCGCATTTCTGTTTATATCTAAAAGACCAAATTTCACCAAAAAAACAAGGTACGAGAATCTGTAATAAATTTAAGAACTTTATAAAATTACTATTAAGGACAATCGGATACTTTGAAGCGCTTTATTAATGTAGATTTTTTTCTCAGCAGCGTTTTTTTTCCGATAGGACTGTTTGTATTTCGAAAATGTCTAATAATATAGAGACAGTGACTATACTTCTTTTATTTCTTATTTAGTCAAATGATTATTGTTGAAACAACGCTGTGATGGCTACTGGAACTTATTACAACTCTTCTCCTCGAAATCTTATAATAGAAAATATGGTATGTCAATTGGTGTAATATTGTTTTGAAAAGCAAAGAGAACCGTTGACAACATCGTTCATTTTTAGAATTTTAATCCACAACAATCATTCAAACATAGTGGAGCTAGAATTCAGGATCGGAACACAATTCGAATAATAAATTTCAATGAATTACCTGAAATACCATTAAAGTAATAAAAACATAAAAAGTCAAAAGTGAAGTTTGATTTTTTTTTATAGAAGAACACAACGACGAACAACTTGTGGTTTCGGATTTTGGTGCTGTAATTGCTGTGATTTTATAAAGGTTATTGGTTTAATTTTTCTAGTTTTGATAACAGTTGGTATTTTGGTTGCTGTTATTTTAACAACCCTTAACACTTCAGCAACAAATTCTACAACAGGTTAGAAATTCGTTCTTGTTGTACAATCTTATTATGTAGTTTATCTCACATTTACAGTATATTCCGTCACTGTTCCAAAATATTTATGTATCTATTATGGCTATCCATCATTGGTAGATGGAAGTAATTGGAATGTACAAAATGCCACTGCTCAGTTTCAACAATTTGATCTAATTGTATTTGGTGACAAGATATGGAATTCGAGTCATGGTGATCATGTAAATACGCAAACGATAATTGGAAATTTAAATCAATTAGGTAAATCATCTTATGGCTATATTGACTTAGGGGTGACAACACAAAACTTAACGATAGCTCAAATGCAAGTAGCTGTTCAAAATTGGTCAGCAATGGGTGTTAAAGGCATATTCTGGGATGATGCTGGTTATGATTTTAATGTCTCACGTTCAAGACAAGCGACAATGTTCTCGTATTGTCATTCATTAAATTTAAATGTAATGGTAAATGCATGGAATGTAGATGATGTTCTATCTGGATCAAATGTACAATTAACATCAAGTGACATTTATATTCTTGAATCGTATTTGATATCCAACGGAGTATATCAGTCATTATCAGCCTGGAAAACTAAAGCCGATAAGTGTTTACAATATAAACAACAATTAGGTATTCAAATTGCTTGCTTATCAACCGGTACTACATCAATCAGTTCAACATTTGGCACAACAGCACAATTTAGTCAAGCATGGTTTGGTACAGCGATGTACAATTTTGATTATTTCCAAGCAACCGATATTTTCTATAGTTCATCAAATAATCAATTATATTTTTTTGCTAATCTAAGATCATCCTACGGTACACAATGGCAAACGTCATACGTTTTAAATACTTCATCGACACATTATTATCGATCAACAAACTTATTTACACTCGATCTTTACGGTGATGGCTCCACATACGGTTATGGTAACTTCAGCTCAGCACAATCAGGATAAATCTGACAACACCAGACAGTTCCAGAAACAGACAGTTTTTTTCATTTTTTTTCATGTGTTCAAACTGATAGGCGATCAGTTTTTTTTTTTGAAGGCGATCACATGCTATCATCGAATTCGTTTATAAAATTAGTTTGTTTCACAGATATTACAAGTCGAAAATACATTTTTTGAGCCACTACTGTAGCATATGATAGTTGATGATCTCACATTCTTATCGACCGGTCATGTAAAGAAACTAATTTTATGTTATAAAATAACTTCTACGGTATTCTGAAACAATCATTCAATTATTAAATCGCTAAAGTCCACACTGATCATATTGCTGTCGATTTAGTCAACACAATAGATTTTGGTATGGTTGTTTACTTTTCTGAATGATCATCCTGGTTTCAATGATGATATTTGTGACATCGTTACCGGTTGATCAATACACATAAACAGATCCTTACTATTTTCATACACCACCCATGGGGAAATTTTAGTAGGTACCGCGGTGTGTACACGCGTGAATATCGTGAAATAAATTGTGGTCGCACGTGAACATCGTAAAAAATGGTGTGTGAGCACGCGTGAAAAATATATTCTACTTGTGATAACGGGTGAACTGATTAAGAAAACGTTTCGCGTCATATTTTTTGCACGTGATCACAGGTGAAAGTCGTGAAGTGTGTAGTGGCCACACGTGAATTTCTCATGTTAAAATTTCCGTAAAAAAATATCACTTGCGGACACACGTGAAAATGTCTCCTACCAATTTCATTGTGAAAAACATCTTAACATTTATTCGCACGTCAGTTTTTCACGCAACTCATTTCGTGAATAATATTCACGCTTAACCCCAAGCGACAAAATTCTTACGTTTCACGCGCGTCCACGTGAGAAACCTTTTACAGCTGCGAAATGTCGTGAAGATTGAGCGGCCTATACCTGCCGAAAGTTGTACATACATACAGATGAAAACCTTTGCTGTAGACCGAAGGTATTTGCTGTAGGAATATGCCTGGGAATCATCTTGTTCCCGGGAGGAAGTATTAACTAAAAAAGTTTGGAAAAGTTGGAAACTACGAAAAAAGATTTAGGAAGTTCACAAGTAATCACGCGTGGGAACTTTTTTACACGTGGTAACTCGTGAGGATTGATTCGACAACTATGAATATGAGATTTATTCAGTAGTTTCTCAGGCAAGTTAGCTCAATAGTAGTATCGTAGATTTCTAATTCAAAGTACCCTGATTCGACTCTTACTTTGCGGTGATATATATAAAATGTGATATTTTAGAAACTAGTGGTCACACGTGGAAACAGTTATAGATGAAGTTGCATTGATGAAATCTGCATTATACCTTGATCATGGTGACCATGTATAGTCAGTTCACTATAGATGGTCGGCATAGTCAAGATTTTTCCACACGTAATCACGCGTGAAGATTGCTCACTTGTGTACATGTGTGAAGATTTTTCACGCGTAGCCACGCGTGTGATGCTACAACAACACGACCAAACTGTCGTGAAACTTGCTGTCTTTACCTACAAAATTTCGTGAAAGTCCAAACTGACATTTCAAAATCCGTCACACGTGAAAAGTCGATAAAATTTCCACATGGGTAAACTAATGAGCTAAATGCAAGGGGGGAACAGCGGACTCTTGGACTCTCGGAGTTCAGGAGTCTATTGGAGTCCCTTGTAGTCCCAAGACTATATATTTTTATTTTATTTTATTTTCGTAAAACTGTGCTATATTTTATTGTTTGTTTATTACATATGACCAAAAATATATAATGCGAAAGATAAATTTAAAAGCTTTGCCAAGATTGGAAACAAACGCGTCAAAATAAAGGAACTACGGACAATGTTATTAGAGATGTTGTAGTAATTGTTGATACGTAGTAATAGGTCTTCATGCAATACCAGCACTTCTACGAACTTCTAGACTTCAGGAGTCCATCAGAGTCCAATGGACTTTATGGGGTCCGGAAGTCTAGGAGTCTGCTATGTTGCCCTTGGCTAAATGACAGATGGCGAACAATTAAAGATATTGTTTGTGGTACAACAAAAGAAGGTGGTAAGTGAGAATTCAAAACCGTGTGTTTCGCTTGGAGAATGTTCGTCTCGAGTTTCAGATCTGAGACACTTCAGCTTTTCGTAAATTTGTCTAAACAAGTAGAGCACTAAGGGCTAGATAGCATCTCCAGTAACGATAATTCAGTCACTAACTCTTCTTTTCTCCTACATAGGGAGATTTGAAAATGAACTAAAGCCACTTAGATTAAAAACCAGTGAAGACTTATGGTCATCAATACGTCAACATATGTTGAAAGAACCTCATCAAGTCACAGCTAATATGGCAGTTTTGAAAAAAACATGGAATACTGTTTGCGATTTTTTGGGTTACAACTGCAGATTTGTTTCGAACACATTTATAGAATTTTTGGATTGCTTCACATCAATGAATATTTTCAGTGATAAAGAATTAACGAAAATCAATAGTATGCTGCATTAGAAGGACTTTGTGAGCTCAAGCGAGGAATACAACGTTACTTTTTTTCTAGTACTGGCCTACTTACCATCATGATTAGCTGTTGTTGTTTCTTTTCTAATAAAAAAATCATTTCTGAGTGGATTTCAAGGTTATTCTAAGTCACAATAATTTGCAAACATTTTTGCTTATGAAATGTGCCCAAGTCTACCCTTTCGAATGAAGAAAACCGCAGGTCTCTATCTCATCTCTATCAAAAGATATTCAAAAATCGATCGAGTTCATTCCTTTACGAAACGGAGAATACTTAGTTGTTACTTCAAGACCCGCTTCAATTATAGTTTATAAAAATAATTATAGAAGTTTGATCAAGTCGAACGTGCTACGTCGATGGATATGTTACAGAAATGTTATGCAATACTCGCGACTCCTTTAAGTTTCGGCAGAATTTTTTTCTTAAAGCTTTACCCCTCCCCAGCGGAGGAAATTCTCCTTCTCCGATAATTCTTTTAAATCGAACGAACTTTTACAGTAAGGAGAGAGAGCTTTTCACCTTAAAACATGTTAAGTAACATAACATAATGTAAACTAAGATAAGATACGATAAGGCGATACATTCTCAATGTCTCCTACCGCACTTCTCCCGTTAATAGAACTCCAGCCTCATGATAGTACACTCGGTCTACTTCAGCAATATCATTGGGGGAGAAATATTCGCCTCATTTTCCGGTCGAAAATCGTCTTCCAACTTGTACAGATCGATGATTTGGCCTCTCACAGCGTGATCTCTTGTAAAAGAACGAAAAGACGACCGGAGCTCGTGGTTGTGTGAGTTTGTAGTAGACACTATCGAGTATTTATAAGCATTATACGGTAATAGGTCGGGACTTATCGTTAAGGGCTCTTATATAACATTTAAAACCTTCAGGTTTTATAAATAAATACCTTTTAGAGACGGGCTAACTGTGTATATTTTACGTCAGCTATATCTTCCAAGACAATATTTTTCTCACGATTTATTATAATCATATAGATAAGAAATGAAGCACATGCAATAAAAGAGTTTACTAGGTGAACAGAATTCATAATAAAGCGTCATGAATAGAGATCGACAAACTCACATGTTCTGATCCGGCTCCGTAACCTTTTCGAACTAGTTTTGGTTCTGGAAAGTTGACCACTCCATTTTTTGAATTTTTGCTTTCGACTTTCTGCACAACCATTGCAAATGCGCTGGATAACAGCTACTACTTACGAAAGTCGTTTACTGCTGCTGCATACGGCGACTTACGATTGCTTAGAAGCGTCATGTATGCGTCTCCTTAATTCGTGGTGGGCGTAAGCAGCAATTGTTCACGAACACCATAGATGGCGCTCGTGAGGAATCATAATTCAGCATTTATAATGATTTGAAAGGACCGCCGTTGTTCTCTGGGCATGATTGTTTGCAATCGTGGGTCATTCACCTAGGTACAGTTGTTCAATGAGCCGATACAGTTACCAACAGTTCGCTTTATTCTATCAAGCGAAAATAGCAAGAATGAATCTTTGCTACCTTTTTTATTAAAAAAGATCTCGATTAAATGACAGACAACTGAATATCACCAACATGTTCGACTAGATTGAAGAAGTGTCATGAATATCATCACATTATCATAAAATTGAGACAAAGAATGAATATAGAAAAAACCTACCGAGTAAATCACACTGGAATTATATCTACTTCGTATCGCGAGATTTTCCAGATCTTCTTTGTCTACCTTTTGCTTTTCGATCTTCGGTGAACCATACCTCCATAGCACGGATCATCTCCTTCGAGCTGATGTGGGCTTCGTCCGTAGTAACGTTTTCTTTTTTGATAATATCTTCCGTGAGCCATCTAAGAAATGTGCTCATCTTTTTCGTTTTGATCAACAACGATTTCGACAACGATTGTTCACGCATAACACATTGTATTTTCTGTATTCGATAAACTCCTGCACGTTAGCCAACTTTATCGGGCGAACAGATATCAGTGCTTTGGCTTTGAATACTGAATGCATTTGACCTTTGACTTTGAAGAAGAAATGGCTTCCTGTCTGAGCCCACTCGGTCCACACGATATCTTCATCAATACCGACCTGCTTGAAATAGTCATCAACAGGATATCATCGTTCCACTTTTTCGATGGTCTCGTCCAGTGCGTCCAGGGAAAGTTCGGGGGTGGATGAAGTCAATGTCAATTTTATAAATAGGAAAATCATAAATATTGTATATCAGATGTTCGTGTCATTTGATATCTACCCATTCTTTCAGTTCGAGCCAAAATTCATTCATATTTGTTTGCTGTTGGTTCAGACTATCTTCATTGGCATTAGTAGTTACGGCCTGAATCCTCGTCACCGTCTGATCGATAACGTTTACTTCGAAGATGACAAACATTTTCGTGAGACCAGAAAGAGCAACGTTCGTTTGAATATTCCCACTACACCATTCACCAAAGATGGCAATACTGCTGCCGCGCTCGTAATATTTTCGAATAG